CTGGGGGCTCCGGGCCCGAGATTCTCCCCCCCCCGTCCCCTTCACTGGGGGCTGCGGGCCCGAGATTCTCCCCCCTCCCGCCCTGTCCCTTTCCCTGGGGTCTGTGGGGCCAAGTTCGGACTGGGTTAGGGCCATTGTGAGGGGGTGCGGTCACAGATGATCTCTTGGGGGTGCTGACACAGCCACTGCCACTCACCTTCCCTGCTCTCTGGGGCTCCTCACCGCTCTGCTGGTCTCCCCCAGCCCAGGCCCCGAGCTGAGGTCCCTCTCCCCCCTCCCGCCCTGTCCCTTTCCCTGGGGTCTGTGGGGCCAAGTTCGGACTGGGTTAGGGCCATTGTGAGGGGGTGCGGTCACAGATGATCTCTTGGGGGTGCTGACACAGCCACTGCCACTCACCTTCCCTGCTCTCTGGGGCTCCTCACCGCTCTGCTGGTCTCCCCCAGCCCAGGCCCCGAGCTGAGGTCCCTGCCCCCCACTGAGAAGCAGCATAGACACGGAACGACTTCACGTCCAAGGAGAGTGCAGTTTAGGGCACATCCTTCTGAGAGAGCACTCCCCAGATGGGATTAAACCCCAAAGAATTAGGTAAGCTCCCTTTAGCAATGAAAAGGGAAATGTGCACAGGGGTTGCCCTCCCCAGGTAGCAATCGCTTACACTGGGTTTGATAGAAAGTAAAAATGGTTTTATTAAGTTGGAGCAGTAGGATTTAAGTAGTAACAAGTGAAAGCAGGCAGAGTAAAGTAGGTTACAAATCAAAAGAAACAAAACTGCTTGACTAATTCTACATTGAACCCTTAGTTCAAACTCACTCTAAAACCTCTTTTCCAGCTGCCACACTAACGCCTTCCTTCAGGTGCAGCCCAGACAAAAAGAACAAGGCCTCTCCTCTCTTATTCTTTTTGTTAAAGAATTGAGGCCCCTCCTTTCCAACCACTGCTCTGACTGAAGGACAAAAGAGATAGTTAAACAGTTGAGGGTAACACCCTCTGTGTCTCTCATTCAAGTGTTTGAAACCCACAAAGTATTTCCCACTCTATGGGTGCATCTAGACTAGCAGGCTCTTTTGCGCAAAAACTTGCCACCTGTCTACGCTGACCGTGAGAATTTGCGCAAGAAACACTGATTTTGTACAGGAACGTTAATTTCTTGTGCAAGAAAGCCCGATGGCTAAAATGGCTTTCAGAGCTTTCTTGCGCAAGAGAGCATCTATACTGGGCATGGATGCTTTTGCGCAAAAGCAAATCTTTTGTGCAAAGGCACATGCCAGTATAGATGCTCTCTTGCGCAAATACTTTTAACGGAAAAACTTTTCAGTTAAAAGTATTTGCACAAAATCTTGCCAATCTAGATGCAGCCCACGTGTCTAATTTTCCCCACACAAATGCTATACACAACAAAGTAAGATAAACACAACTAGCAGATCATGACATGAAGATTGATGGGTTACATTAAATAATTCGCTCAAACCACCTTTGAGTTATGTATATTCATGTCCACAAGTACATTTCATAAAGCATGTCAGGGGGAGGGGGGCGAGGTCCGTCACAGCCATCACTTTCCTTATTCCTCTTTATCCCCCTCTTGTCCCTCTTCTCTGATGGCTCCTGATAGGGATTGCTAGCTGCTTTGCCTATTTTAATAAGAGGTATATTTGCATAGTACAAATATAACTACACTTGGCCTGCAATAGGGGAAGATCTGTAAAATGCTCATGTAGTGGCACTTGATGGTTTTTATTTAAAAAATGGAAAACTGACAAGTATCTGGAAAGTAATATTTTTGGACACTTTCAAAAATTGATCTCACTCAGAAGTCTTTATAGGTAATGACTACTACTTGACTGGAAAACATACATTAAAAGGACACTGCCCAGGCCATTTGCTGAATTGATTGTTATAAAATGTACACTTCTTGAGAGAGATCCAGAAAATAAATGTAGTTTTCCCTAGTTTAGTAAATGTTAAATGTACAGAGTTACTTTTTAATGAACTAACCCTACTACTGCTTTAAAGACAGGCAAACAAAACTGGATATATTACATTCATTGGCTTCTCTGGGAAATCTTTTCATTTATGCCAATGGTCTGAAGAGATGTAATTTTTTTTTACAAGAAAAAGATAAGCCTTAAATTTATAAATGCTAATCAGGCTTCTGTTATCTAAAGCAGGTAAAAAGTGGAACTTATCTCCTTATCAATTTGCAAAATCCTTAGAGAAGATCTATACACACTTATAAAAATCTTGAGAGTGCTAAAATAAAAGTGCAAAGTATTGTTTATTTGTACTGTGGTAGCACCAAGGAGTCCTAATTCATGTGCCAGGGCCTCGTTATGCTATGCACAGTAAAATACACCATCAGTTGGCAGTCACTGTCTCAGAGAATTTATAATTTAAACACAACAAGTGGATGCAACAGATGGAGAGCACGTGGAAACAATGAAGCAGTGCTGGTGTTTTAGGCAGCATATGCTGGGATATGTTAAGATTCAGAGAGTGAACAGGAAGGAGAACCAGATATCCAGTTTATAAAGCTGAGGTTGAGGATTCTTGTGTGCACTGCAAGAAAGTGTTGCAACTTGTTTACAGCAAGACAGCTATGTGCTAGCCTAGGTTACTAATCAGGGCAGCATGACCAGCTGCTGGAGTTTCAGTACTAACCATTAATTAAAAAAAAACCGAGGCACTGATCATTCTGATGGCCTGGTTGAAGCAGTCTGTTTACGCACTGAATTGGTCTTTGAAGTCATGGTATAGGCAGGTTCTCACTGTCTGCAAAAATACCACAGCAGATTTTGTTCTCATCACATCTTGTAGGGTTTAAGCTGGTCAAAATTTCAAAATTTCAATTTGAAACTTCCTTGGGAAACCAGAGGTTCAGTAGAAAGTTGGTAGTTTATTAAAATGGCACTCATCTCTTTTAGTCAGTGTGGTTGTATGGGCTGTTATTTTACTGGAGATGTTATCTGTAAGATCAAGTATAAACCCAAGATCCTGAAACCTTAAGAAGAGTAGTACCTGGTATATAAACCAGATTCCAAATGTTGTGATCACATTTTGTCCATATAAACATCTGTTTTACCTTTATTTGGCTATGATATCCTTCATGTCCCTTACTAGGCTCTTCACATCTGCTTTGCTGCTCAAATATAGTTATAAGTGGGTGAAAGGTGTTGGGTTTTTTTTGTAAGAAAATTATCAATGAAGCCTTACTGAGTCCTTGTCTTTTTTTTTAAAACTCTCAGAATTGTATATATAAAATAAAAATAACTTTCATTACCTTGTAACTTCTTGTAGGTAAATCTTAGTACAGCTTTGGTTTGTTTACTTTAATTATATTATGCTTATTTTACGATTAACTACAGGCAGTCCCCGAGTTACGCGGATCTGCACTTACGAACCGGGCTTTTCTCGCCCTGGAGGATGCGGGCGGCGGGATCGCCCAGACGCGCCGCGGTCCCGCCCCCCGCGTCCTCCGGGGCGAGAAAAGCGGCTCCGCGT